TCCCAGTTCCCCGGTCGCTGGGGGCAGGGCCAGGAAGGCTGGCTCAGAGGAGGGTGGCCAGGCACAGGCGGGGCTCTCCCAGCTCTGCCTGGCCCAGGAGATTCCCTGTCCCTGCGGCCGCAAGATGGTGCAGGAACACCACACCGCAGCCTGCTGGGCCTGCACCTTGCATGCATGCACCCAGGCACACGTGTGTGCACTCACACACATGTGCATGCATGCACACTTGCTCTCTTAGGGGAGCACCCACCTTACCTGCCATCCCCTGGGTGGGCAGCGCTGCTGGGACTTTGTGCTCCATCTTCAGGGGTCCCCGAGCATCTCTGGGGCAGAGTGCGGGGCTGCAGGCTGAGCCCTGCCAGGGTGGGTGGGAGATCTGCTGGTGCAACACCCTGGGCTGGTGCACAGCCCTGGGCTGGAGCTCAGCCTGCAGCCAGGCAGCCCGTGCCCCTCGCCGGGCAGTCGGCAGCATTCGCCCACATCTCCCGTGGACGCCCCACACCAAACCCGTGCCCTGGGGGTTAGTGCCAGACTGCTGCTGGGTTTCTGCACTGCTGAGGGAAGTGGGTCAGCAGGCAGAGAGGAGCAGACCAGAGAGCAACACCTACTCACCGCCAGGCACCTGCACCCACGCCACACCACGCACAGCCCCAGCCAAGTCTCCATCAGACCACAGTGACCTTCACTGCTTTTGCAGAAACACACGCAGGCACAGCGGAGCAGAGTGCTTCCTCTCTCCACCATGGGAACTGGTTGCACAGAAATAATATATACATTTTAATTATATTTGAAATACACAGGAAACGCATAAGTGGGAGAACAAATACCACCAGGCTAGCTCTTGCGGAGAGCTCGGTGACAGCTGGTGACCGTGGTGGGGTAGTGGAGCAAGACGGGGTGTTGGTTCCCAGGCTGGTTCAGGGGTTGCCAATGCAAGAGCAGAGCAGAAGCAGGCGCCTACCCCAGCTCTAGGGTGCCGCACGGAGATCTGGTGACATGGCCTCATCCCCACTCTGCGCCGTGACGAGGACGCTGACCTGCAGCGTGCCACAGCGGGAGCGCAGCACCCAGTCACCCTGGTACAGGGGCCCCAGCCCTGCTGCCTGACCAGAAGGAGGAGGAGGAGGGAGGTGAAGGCTGAGCTGCTGGCAGGTCGTGGCATTGCAGGCCATGCTCACAGTGCCCTCAGGGTTGCTGTAGGTGCACTGCCCTGGGGCATCCACCCCTGGCTCCCCATCCCAGCCCTCCTCTGGGGGAACACCGGGTGCTCCCGGGCACCCCAGCTGCCCCTCAGGGAC